CTTTATCGAAAATATACTGTATGGCCAGAATTGTTTCATCGATGCATATGTTTAAAAAATCATAACTTCTGAACGGATTTGACGATTTTAATTTTTCAAAATGCAAACAACGCGTATTTTAGTGAAGAATATGTAGAAATAACAAGAATATTCGAAAACCTGTTCCTTAATCCCGTTAAAGTGAAAAAAACCCGATAAAAATGGTCTAATTTCAAACGGCCATAATTCCTAGAATAATGAATATATTGTATTGAAGTTGTGGGAGGAAGTAAAGTTCATGGATACCTACAAAAAAGTATAAAACAATTTTTCTGTAGAGCGTCAAACAAATTTATTAAAAATGAAAAACGAATTTTATAGAGAAATCGACAGGGAGGTAGGGGCTGAAAAAAAAAATTCAAATCGTTCTGGAAAAATTATTTTCAGTTGTAGAGGTCAATTAAAATCATTTTTGGTCATTACACATACCCCTGAAATCCTACGCACTTTCGAAAAAATAATTCGAGAAGGTTTGAAATTGGTCGACAAAATTAAAAATTTTCAAATCGTTCTGGAAAAAATATATTCGGTTGCGGGGGTCAATTACAATCATTTTTGGCGAATGGACATACCACCGAAATCCTACTCATTTTCTAAAAAAAAATTCGAGAATGTGTGAAATTTTTCGACGGAAAGAAAAGATTTCAAATCGTTCTGGAAAAATTATTTTCAGTTGCGGGGGTCAATTACAATCATTTTTGGTGAATAGACATACCCTCGAAATCCTACCAACTTTCGAAAAAAAAATTCGAGAAGGTGTGAAAATCGACGGAAAAAAAAAATGTCAAATCGTTCTGGAGAAATTATTTTCAGTTGCGGGGGTCAATTACAATCATTTTTGGTGAATAGACATAACCCCGAAATCTTGCGCATTTTCGAGAAAAAAATTCAATACAAGCGGAACTTTAAACGTTAATAACTTTTTAATGGAGCCTCTGTCAAGAAATTGATATTCTTGATTTTCGCCTTAATTTGGCCTCTAGAATCCTCGATTAAAATTTTTCCCAGGGGTGGCTGAACACCTTGTATACACTCCTCGACCGACTTCCCAATATCTAGTCGCCTAAGGCATGGCCTGCTAGAAAGCCTTAATGATGAGTCCACTAGCAGGCTCAAACGAAACGCTCCCCTTTCATTTTCTACCCTCCCACGACTTTTCTCGATTTTCTACAATCAACGAAGTAGCGCCACAAGCCGTAATGGCCGCTGCTGAAGCACTCTAATATTTCGCCTCCGCGCGCTTAAACGCGATGAAAGTTGTTTCACAGTTGTTCGAGCTGTCACGTTGGCGAAGCTTGCACGCATTTCTCGGTGAGAGTCTTTCCTATCTATGCGGGGCGAGTGTCGCTAATTAAAGTTGGCGAACGTCTCGACGCGCGAGGCGTCTACCTGGAAGACGGGTAGAGAACCGCCATTAAACGCAGTCAGGTGAATCGAGATTTCTGCTTCCCAGCTTCCCTCGACCGTCCACAATCAATTGCACGAACGATTCTAATTGATCGATACAGGGTGTGTGTATAAAAATGTTGCGCCTCGATGGTCGGGTTAGGATACTACTGGATCATGAGAATTTTATAGTTGTGACAAATTTAAGTAATTGGTAAAATTGGTAGTTTTACGAGTAGAATAAAATGTCAGTTATAGTTGCAGTTACAGTTGAAAATTGTTAAGGCGTTCACGGTTGATCGTCGAATAAAGTTTACCGGAGCGATCTCTCGACACTTCGGAGAACGGATACAGTTAAAGTAACTTTATTCAATTCGTTACTCGGTTAAAATTTTGCCCATCTTCGCTGCACGGTACGTAAATATCACTGTTGAGACGTTTTCTGCTGAAACTTTGCATCTTTATATTCCCAGTGTCAAAATCTGGTTACATTTTCAACGAAATCGACCAACGGGGATTTCAATTTTCTGACATTAAATGAAACTATTCTTAGCTGTTCGACCGATTAAAACTTACAGTAACGAACGGAAGAATAAAAAAAAAATAATTTTGATTCTACAGATACCAGAAATAACCAGACACTCGAATAGTACTCCAATTAAATTCAGATGGTTCAATATCTGAATAGGATTGAAATGGGAAGGATACGGGAGAGGAACGTGAATTATTGTTCGTTTATGCAGCGGAAGTTAGCGCAAGTTGGATTACAACGAAAAAGATGAGCTTCAAGTTTAATACAACGAAAAAATTGAAAGATTAGTCATTGAAGTCGATCGTTGCAACTATCGATCCCTGGCGCGTGCTGGCGTGGAACATCAAGAAGAATCTGAAAGCGTTCAAGAGTCGGCGAGACTTTCAAGAAGTTAAATATCTTTCCATCATTAAAAAAACAGTAATTTAGTAGATTACTAAACGAAACCTTAAATTCTTCATTTATTATAATAATAACTATACCATTTACTTTATGAATTTAATTTAATCGATAGACGGAGATTGGAATAAAATGCCTGGCTATAATAGATAACAACGGAGACTGGACAGCGTACTGATCAGAATGCACCATGCACGAAGGTAAACAAAATAATTGCAAGCGATTTAACACTAGAAAGACTGAAACTTGGTATACAGGTTGGTCCACGCAATTGTTACAAGTCATAACTCCGTTATTATTGCATTTTACGAGAAAATACCAAAGGAGGAAGATAAATGGTTCGAAGAGCACTACATCTGTAGGCCTTTAAATTTTTTTTAGATGCAGCAGTGCATGTGCAATTAACAATTGCATCACTTCTTTAAATAGAAATGCATATTTTTTTTTAGACATATCGATTCTTCTGTTCATTCTACGTATAAAATGATTAGGGTACCATGGCAAAAAAAATTATTAGATCTCGAGATATTTTCGAAAAATGTCTTTATCGAAGAAGATTGCCCAAAAGCAGTCAAAATGACTACATTGTGAAAGAATAACTAATGCGTAAAGAAATTTGTTTAAAATTAATTTTTAATATTAGGTTTTAATATTATGAATTTAGGGCGCAAAAGAAATAAAATAAACAACTTGTTAGAACAAGTATCACTGCACAAAGATTCGAATAACAAGTACAGTGAAAACTCGATAAGTGTCGCTACTCCGGGTCCGGTCAGCAACACTTACGGAATAGGAGAATCGTCTTTCGAATTTGATTGTAGTTTGCCGACGCTTCGAACGTAGAAAGAGGGACTGAAACTCGGATTTATCGCCCCAGTTTAAATATCCGCGTCAGTGTGACCACACTACTGCACAGAAGAAAGTTTTTTATTTTTTTAGTTTTTGTTAATAAAAATTTCACTATCATGTTGGGGAGATTTCTCTGATTAAAATGAGGATAAACACGATATAAATCGGTCAATATTTGGTAGCATAATATTGAATTAAATATTGTACTTGCGAGTCTTTCTCTCTTTATTTATCCTTCTTGTGCTGTCCTTTTCTATGTTCGGAAATATAAAAGAACGACGCATCGAGGTGCTGGCTACATTTATCGAACGGGAGGTAGCTATTTTCAAACGGAACGGTTCCACCGTTTCGTAAGTGATCAAAAACTGCAACACTTATGAAATAGGGGGTTTCGTTAGCTACCACTGTTCGATAAATGTACCAATCCACTGACCTTGCGAAGATATGAGTACACAATATTTAATTCAATATTATGGTAACAAATATTGGCCGATTTATATCGTGTTTAGTCTCATTTTAATTAGAAAAATCTTCCCCACATGATAGTAAAATTTTTATTAAAAAAAAGTAAAAAATAAAAAACTTTCTTCTTGTACAGTAGTGTGGTCACACTGACAGGGACATTTAAACTAAGATGACGAAGGCAATAAAGATTTTTAAAGAAAGCCGCTACGTCTCCGGTTACACTTCGCCTCACTGGTTCAAGGGGGATCCCCCTAGTGGTGGGGATAAAAATGTATCATTAAATGGAACAGCTCTTGAGGACATTTATCGAGTTTTCACTGTACTACTTTGTAGGAGGCTAACGGGCCTCTTTAGCTTGGAGAGGACACGGTACAGGGGTTTTCCCATGACGTAGGCCGCTTTGTTCCTTACGGGAAAAAGAAAAACGGCAAAGGGATGGCAAGGCCAAGCAGGCCAAGTCATCGGACAGTTACAGCAAAGACTTTGACGTGGATTGTGACGTACACTCGCGCGCGCCCGACTAATATATATCATTTATTGAAAATATATATCATCGTTATTAAGACTGGGAGGGTTTATTTCGGGCTCCTGACAACGTCCTGTTTCCCTCCATACCCTCCCACAACTTTAGCTTATTGAGAAACTGCAACTTATCAATTATACGCCTAAATCAACAATTTATCATGTACTTGTATGTTATCATGTGTCGATAATCGAAAAAAAATGAAAACTGTTATTTCAATACAAAGCCGAACTGGTCATATAAGAAATTTTACTCAATTCAATAATAAGAGTCATTTGATTATTTAAAATTTCCCAAGCAGTCAAAATGACTGCTTTTGGGCAATATAGGTATAACACACATATATATATATATATATATATACCGGAAATGAAGGAGGGGGAAGTAACTACAATTATTAATAAACGCATTTATATGTTGTACAAAAAGTCACAAAATTCTAAGAAATTGTGTCATTATATACATAATTGTTTTTCTAATTGAAATTAAAAAGCAGTCAAAATGGCTTCCTTGGGCAATCTAGTGTTAATTAGCTTCGACCGTTCGACCAAGCAATTTTTAGAGAGAAGACCACGGTTATTTGTTTCAGAACTAATTGATCATCCTGCAGCTACAACTCTGGTTGCAGTTCGCGCGAATGGTCCGCAGAATATCGTAAAAATCAATGAAGATCAGGTCCGGCTGTCTCCTTGTCGGAGGGTTAAAGTACGAAGAGCAAAGGATTGACGTTTGACCGATAAAAATCGGTCTTTTGGATCTACCGTGCGCGGTGCGGCGATAAAGTCGTCGCTAGGTAGTCTGCGGGCCAAAAAGTTACGTATAACAGCGCTTGCGTACACCGCGAACTACCTAGATATATACGGCCTGTTGCCGTTCGAACCGCCACATTGCGTCCTCGAGCACGACCTTTCGTCTTTCTGGTACTAACCCGCGTGTCGGTAACCACACGACACCCCACGAGTCGTCGTAACAGAGCCTGGAACAGACTTGCGAGACCAAAAGTCCAATCGTTCGGTGCACGTTCGGTCGGAATCGAAAGTCGATACGAAGAACCGTTTCGATCGAGTTTGCGAGAGGATCGAGAGGCAAGTTCCCCGCCATCGAGGACCGAAGAAGACCGTCGCAGAGTCGAAAGGAACTCGAGATACCGAAGACGCGTCCTTGGATAGCTGGTCCCGGATTCCGAGAGTCGATCGAGCAAGGTCGCAGAGATGGGGAACGGAGTGATCCCGCTGGTGGTGGTGGCCATGGTGCCCATCATCGCCGGTACCATTGGTCAGCGTGCACTGAACAAGAGGAACGTACCGACGAACCTGGACTTTCCTGACTACGCGACCAAGTACGACGACTATCCGGTGAGTAACTAATTTTGGAGTTTGTTCGGTGAAATTCGGCGGGAGTGTCTTTGGAAAAAATATTCTCGCGGGAGAGACAATCACATTATCCGGACGCTAGATATAGATAGAAAAATATCCATTAAGTCTGTTACTTCAGTGTTCGTTGCTGTTCAGTGTGCAGATATATTCTACTGACGTTAGTGGCTTTTTATTCTACTCTTATTACCGTGGGTCAGAAAGTAAATCAACTAGTCTATCGGTCTTGGAAACACTATTCACTATACATTTTTATATAATAAAAATCCTTTCTTTCTCATCTTTATAATGGCAAGAAAACAAGTATTAGGATCCATTCTTTGTTGCTTATTTCGTACAGTTTTGTTTATGTCCATATGCTAACCATTGGGCATATTTGTTTTGTTATTTAGTGATTAACCCTTAAGTGGAATCCCAATCTCAACTAAATTATTTTACTTAATCTTGATTTTTACCAAACTGATAAATGGAAATCAACTTTCCTTTAAAAGCATTTAAAAAATAATGAACTAATAGAAGATTACGTAAATTTTCAAATAATTACATTGACATATATTAAACAATTATTAGTTTAAACTTGCCCAATAATCCACTTAAGGGTTAAATTTTGAGAAAATATTTTACTTATAAAGAAGAGATAATTGAGAGGTTAGGTTTCAACGGTTTTCAAACTAAAAATTAATGTTATCAGGCAAAAATTTACGTAGACGAACACAAAACAGAAAAATTCCGATCATCATTCGTTCACGACGAGTTGCAGATCATGATTTATCGTTCTCGTTGATATTTCTCTGTGTTTTGCAATCAGTCGTTACGGCTTGAAATTTATAAATTGCTTTTCAGACCACTTTGCGCCGTGTGCTGAAGCCGCCATCTTGAATTTGAAATTTTTTCCAGTATTTGCGCCGCGTGATTGTTTCCGGGTTCCCCGCTCGATCTTGAGGCCACGTTCGGGGGTTCTCTCACCCCCCTAAAATAAGCTTCTGTGTGCCATTGAGGGAAGCTAGCCATGTGACGAAACGGGACGTCGACTCACGATCAACAAGTAGATTTATGCTATTCCTGTGAACGCCACCGAGGAGTGTGGTTTTTGCCCTAACTTTATTGTCACTTTCATCGAACCGTCCCCGTCCAAACACTTCATTATTGCAAGTTTTGTAACACGACCACGGTTCATTAACCCGTTCCTCCAGCAAATCACTTTAGTTGCGAAATAGACTGTATTTTTAAAACCACCACGCAATATTATATACTAATATAAACTTCGATAGCGGGGAATTAAACAATAAAATGGAAAGATTCCATCCTCAAACAGATTTGTATATTTTCTAACAATTTAAACAATTTCTCACACCGCGATTTGGAAATATTTGAACACGGTTTGTCCAAGAGATTGCAATTTCTTAGCCAAGAGGCGATAACGGGGGATAGAGATGTAATACAGTTAACAGGGTACGAGTGATGCTAGAAAATGGCGGGAATATTTTTACCTCGAACACGATGGTATAATTAGATTGTTAGAAACGAAATGGCTATTTCGTTGCCATTCGAATTCCCCGCCTTTGTAAATGGCGTCGCGTTCCACAGACTTCAGTCGTTCGAAAATATGTTTCAAGAAGAATTAGGCACGAAAACGTTTTTTGTTATCTTTCGTACTTGATTAGCGGTAGATTTAGAAAAGTTCAAGGGAGGAGGGAGAGAGTTAATAAAAAGGCGTAGCGGAATACGATACTTTCTAAGTTAGACAACAAAGGTGGGCACGTTTTCTAAATAGAGGGTTGCCTGATGCGTTCTGGTCGTCCAAATCGTGTCGCTTCAATTTCTGCATCAATACTCGATACAAACACCCGTTATCGGAGTAATAATAACGAAAAGTATCGATTCAACCACCTGGTAAAAAGTCTACCAAACATTTTGTGCTACAATCTGATCGTAACTGGTAAGTTCATCGTACCCAGGATTCAATTAGAAACGGAATAAATAGCATTCGTACCAATTTGTTAGAATTTCCGAGCGGCGTTTTCGAGACGGAAAAAGAAAACCGCTGAACTTGGGTAAGCTCGTTTCGTTCCTGCGGTATCGTTCCCGAAAAGGAACGTCATTTGCAACCGCGATTCGAATCGCAGGGAATCAATCTCGCGTGTATTTTTCGCTAGTCGACGAATCTCGTTCGAATGGAAACGTTGGAAGAAATAACCGTGGATTTGATCCCTGTAACGGCGTCGCCATTGAAAAGGTCAGGTGCTGGTGGTGTCGCATCGACGCCCAATTCCAGCTTTTTCCCCCGTTTAGTCTCCTTCTTCTTTCGCCTCTGATTCAATTATTGCGCCGCGTTTAGCGGCAAAACCAACCGAGAAAGCTCGCGTCAAGGTTGCCCGTGAAAGGTCTCGGATAAAATGAAATTATCTGTACGTACATAGGTATGCCAGATGTGCACTCCCAACCACAAGTCGCTTGATACAGAATCATGCGTTGGGAACTTGAATTTTACATATTTTCGAAGACGCCATCTTCTAAAAAAATTTTTATTTTGTACGATTTAATTTTTACCCGATATACACTCCCAACCACGAGTCCCTTGGTACGGAATGACTCGTCAGAAGCTTGGATTTTAAATATTTTTGAGGACGTAAAAATGTTTATTTCGTACGATGAAATTTTCGACTCGTTCGATATACAAAAATTCTTCGTAGAGAAATACTTGACGGATTGTACGATACGAAGCAAGAGCAGAATTTGCACCAGGTATTCGTACAATACGAGTTCTAGTTCGCATATAATTCGTTCGCGAATGTCACGAGCACCCGTGGGCCATTGAAGTCGTAACCAGTCGAAAACGTTTTCAAGAACGAAACAAACGTCCGCGGCACAATAAAGTAATTTAATCGATCAATTGTCTCCTTTCGAACGGCTTGCGAGCTCGCCGGATTTCGACGACATTGACAAGAAGATTAAACAATATTAATCTAAGCAAGCCGTTTGTTCTCGATCTCGGCTGAACAAATCGACCGTTCGCGTCTCGTAATCGTGTTACAGAATATCCAATTCTTCCTGGTCGTTATAATTACGTCGCGGGAACCTGTCCCGTGCGCTTTCTGGTCCTGAAATTGTAATCCTCTCGAGTTTCTTTATTGTACGATCGCGAGATTCCTTTGTCTCTCGCGGTGAATAAGTGTAAGCCGAGTATTTCATCGTGTATTCTATTTCTTCGATCTCGACGATACAACGAAACCTAATAAAAGAACCACGACAAATTGATATTTTAGTTTTCATCCGCGAGACGAATCGATTCTTCGTGTCTGATAGCGATGAAATCTTAAAGAGAAATATTTATTATTTGTTTTAAGACAAATCGTTCGGAAGGGGGTTCCAAAACGTACCTTTTAATATCCCTCCCCCCTCTGGATCCACAGTTGGATTTCTATTTAAATTTCTGCACCGTATCATACTTCCAAAATCTCAGGGCTGATTTTCATATTTAACCAATCGTTATCATTAATTTGCTTTCCTAAAAAATAATTTAAATTTACCGCCAAATCTTTCGACCAGAATCGTTTCGCGTAACTCTCTTTCCGATTGCATAAATATTATTTGCATAATAAACACGTTTTAGTAATATATAATAGTAATGATAATATTTTTTCCCTTGCACTTTGTTTTTTTTTATATTAATTTCTGTACGTTCGGTTGATAGAATAATTTTGACGGTAACAGAGGGAAGAGGCCAGATAAACATGGTTCCTCGCATTAACGAGCGACAAATAATTAATAATTGTCACGTATTCCTTTCCAAATGTTACTATCGAGTCGCAGCGAGAACTTTGCCCATTTGTTTCTCGACTTCAACGAAAGCAAACGCGGGAACAGTAATTAATCGCGGATGTAACTTCCCGTTTTACGCCTCGTCGTCTTTTCGCGAGTTATTCAGCGCAATGCTTTCGAGGCGGACGAACGGAAACTGGCCCCAGAACGATTTTAATACAATCCTTTTTATTTGTTAATTAGAGGAACGTAATTTCAAAAATATTTTTAAATGTACAAGTGAATAATCCAAATTATCTTAAGCAGTTATGAAATCAAGTTTAAAGTCAATAGATTTTCCCGCTCTGTTGCGGTTATACAGGGTGTCCCGTAAATAGTGTAAGAACCGGAAGTGTGGGGTAGCTGAGACGATTCTGAACAGCAATTTCCTTTGCAAAAATGCCGGATGGGGCTTCGTTTTTGAATTATTAACGAAAAACTGACCAATCACATAGTGTTGACATATAGCTAGCTAAAACAAAAAGTAGTTTAGCGAAAGGCTCAACGTAACCTTCAAAAGCATTCAATTCAGTAGAGTCGAAAATGGTGACAGATATAGTGCATATCCGACACTGCATTTTTTGCGAATTCCAACAAGGGAAAAATGCTGTAAGAGCATACGAATCGATTTGTTACTTTCTCGGTGAAAGTGTTGTATCGTATGATGTGTGCACATTTTGGTTTAAGCGATTTAAAAGCGATGATTTGAGTCTGATCGACAAACAACACCCTGGAGGCCCTCGAAAGTGCGACAAGGATGATTTGGAACAACTGCTCGCTGAGAATGCGGCACAAACGCAAAAAGAACTTGCAGAACAGTTAGGAGTAACCCAGCAAATGATTTCCAAACGCCTACGTGAGATGGGAAAGATTCAGTAAGAAGGAAAATGGGTTCCGCATGAACTCACTGCAACCAACAAAAATCAACGAGTGGCAGCGTGTCTTTCTCTTCTCAATAAGCAGCGTCGAAAGTCTTTCTTGTGGAAAATCGTTACGGATGATGAGAAGTGGATACTCTATGACAATCCGAAACGCAAGAAGTCATGGGCAAATCACGGCGGAGCATCAACATTGGTTGCAAAACCCAATCGCTTCGGAAAGAAGGTTCTTCTCTGCATTTGGTGGGATATGAAGGGCGTGGTTTATTATGAGTTGTTGGAACCGGGTGAAACAGTTACTGC